ACCCCTGACATTCTGTGATTCTGTGAATTCTGTAATAGAATTCTGATTTTTCAAATATACCTGTTGAAGAGCAGGCAAGGTGAACAGCAGCTCTCTTGAAAGTCACAATGTGCTTGACAAGGGGTTTTTATGTTTTGCTTGATTTATTCATCCAAAAATTAGATGCATGTGATTTACATTCCTAATAATGTTGATAATCCTCATAATGTTTATAATCCTTATCATTTTCAGTAATCTGTCCTGCAGAACCTGGAAGCATAGGTTAGTCTTCTCTGCTGTGGTCTTTGGGGATGGATAACTAGTGAAGAAGTATAAAGGAGTTACGCTGCTTTTTAATGGGTCTTGGCTGCTACTTGAAAATACACGTTTCAGTATTTACCTGAACTAATCTAATGTACTGCAAGCACCTGCTCTTAGTGTTTGCTACCATTGAACTATGGTGTGAATAAGGACTTGCAGCCGTGTATATAACAGGATTCAAGATTTTTGTGTTTTGTGAGGCTTGAGGACTAGTGACAGTATTTCTGTCAGAAGTTCTTTGAAGTCTGGAGGCTTTTAAACAAGTCTGCATTGAAGTACTTTGTTTACAGTGGAAAATAACATGCAAAATTAGGGGGAAATAACTCACACAACATTCGGATGGGAATATGGGCACTGGAAGAAATAAGATTGCCTGTTTCCTTTGAGATCATGTTGGATAGGCACTTTTTTTTTTAAACAGAAGGCTGAACAATTGCATTTTTCATCTGTTGATCTCAACAGGTATCTATTTAACATGCCATCGAGCGTTTGGGGCATCTTACTTCAGGTGGTACTTATTTCCCCTTTATCTTTTGTTGGCTACACTGTTTATTCTCTGGTGCCTCAGTAGGTCTTCCCTCTGGCTGAACTGTCTCAAGGTCTTGGTCACATCATGGTGTGTTGTAAAAGGTATCATTTTTAGCTAGGGAGAGGATCTAGTCTAGGTAGTCCATACAAAAGAGCAGGGTCATAATTTTCTTGATCTCGCCCCACTGGTGTCAGTAGTATGCAGATGGGTGGATTAAAGCAGACGAAGTATTTCAATTCTAGAAGCTTTTAGTTGCATTCACAACATTGAAATAAAAGGTTTCTGATCAAATTTCTGTGAGTGAAATTCCACACATCGTTTTCAACCCCCAAACTTTGAATGAAAAACTAGAAATATTAAAAGTTTCTATCAGGAAGTCAGTGTCTCTACTTTCTTAATTTTATGATTGTTGTTTTTAAAATCTCATGTGTCTTTCCCTGGGGGATAACAGAACTGAGGAGAAAATATATCTATTCCCACATTAAGAATAGCTCAGAAACAGATGCTTTGCAAAAGAATTGCTCTTAAAAGATTAGTAAAATGCACTGTTGCCAAAATCAGAAAATGAAGTTATTAATGGCCTTTCTGAAAGCGTGGTTGTTTAGATTAGAAACTCTTGTGAGGACTGCTATGTTTCTGACAAAATCTTTGAAAAATATGTCAGACATATGCAGCCAGAAAAGAAGGAAATGTTTTAAACCAACCCACCCACCCTTGTGTCGTGGTTTTATACGTGTATCAGTCAAAGCCAAATATTCTACCTGAAGGTTTCACCATTCAGCATGTTACCTTCATGAAGCCAAATTACAGATTTCTCTAAAAGTGGTGAAAACTTGGCTGTTTCATAATAGAGATGTAATTTTCTGTTTTTAAAAAGTGCATTTCTCAAAATACATCGATTTCATTTTGTGTCTCATTACTTAAGTGATAATGACTAAACATTTTCTTAGTAGCAAAAATTATGTAGTGATCTTAACTAATCCAGTCTCAACTCGTAGATATGAGTAAAAGTAAGTCTCATTCTAGTAAGAAAAGCATTCTGAGGGACAGCAGCGTAAGTTTTCCCACTGGCACTGAAAAGCAAGCAGAGGAGCTTTTCTCTCTACAGCTGCAGCCTTAATGAGGGTCTGAGCTCTTCTTTGAACCTTCTGGATGCAACTGTAGTCCCAGCTTTGCCCTTGTTGACACTGTAATGTCAGGAATCTCTTCTCTCAAATGTTTTGTACCAGGCTCAGGAGACACGTGGGAGTCTGGTTCAGCATCCACCCACTCATCCATCGTACCCGCTGTGTTGCATCTATCCTCATGCTATTCCCTTGTCCCCATTTTTTCAGCTGAGCAGGATGTTTCCTGTTTCTTCCTTAAGCTACCGCATAGTTGTTACCAGTTTGTCGCTTGGGAGGCACCTGTGCTTTGTGTGTGCAACGCTTCAAAGAAACATAGACAATGTAAAATTTCTTTTGGCTGAAACCCCTTATTTTGAAAGTAAATATGTCCGTTGGTGTCTGCTACTATTCTGCGATAAAACTCATGGGGGACAGTTGATACGGGAAAAAAAATAACTGTGCTCAGTTTTTAAAATACAAATCTTCACATGTGATTACCAGAACAGTGTCCAAGGAGGGCTCATTAGAGGGCCCTTTTATAGGCGAAATAAGTCCTTTGTGGGAATGACTGTGATGAGCGATTTGTTGGGGAAAAAATTTTCAGCTTCAGAATGGAGTATCTGGCCAAAGGAGTGGAGAGAGGGAGAGCCTGTTTGCCCAGCGCCTGGAACAGTTCAGTGAATGGGGGCCAGGAGGGATCTTGCTTTGCTTCATGGGTTGGAGATATTAAGGTGCCCACAAATTCAGCCGCAGTGGCACAGGACTGACATAAAACTAGAAGACAGCCTGAAAGCACTTGCATTTGCTGTTTTGGGGGTTTGTGGTCATACTAGTAACGATACTTTTCTTGTCCTGATAGCAGGATGATTTTGCAAAACTGCCAGACCATTTTTTTTTGTTTCTAAAGTTTTTTTCAACAGTGAACATTGCAACAATAATAGCAATAGTAATACAATAACAATATTACAATATTAACAATATTGTATATATGACAATATTATAATAGTGATAATAACACATTTACTGGTTTGCAGGTCCAATAGTTGCAGAACTTATTACTGCTTTACAGCCCCTTCCCGTATTATTTTATAAGGAACAGTGCTGTGATGTAGCTTTTCATCCATCTTCAAATGTTTGCACATAAAACCTCTAGCAACACAGTGAAAATGCTTCCTGATTCTGTTGCCTTCCTCTTTTCTAATATTCCCTCTACAGATCCCTTGACATTATTTCCCTTTCTCTGCAGATTGCTGGTAGGAGCTCCTCGGGAAAAGGCCTTTCCATCCCAGCAAGCCAACAGAACGGGAGGGTTGTACAGCTGCGACATCACATCTCCAAACGCACGCTGCACACGTGTGGTGTTTGATGAGGAGAGTAAGTTTGTCAGCACTTTTTTTCTGGATTGAAACAGTTTTCTGATTTTTCGTTTGATGTATACTGCATCCAGTTCTGGTGTCCCCACTGTAAGAGGGACATAGATCTGTTGGAGCGTGTTCAGAGGAGGCCACAAAGATGATCCAGGGGCTGGAGCAGCTCTGCTATGAGGACAGGCTGCAGGAGCTGGGATTGTTCAGTCTGGAAAAGAGAAGACTTTGGGGGGACCTAATAGCTGCCTTCCAATACCTGAAGGGAACCTACAGGAAGGCTGGGGAGGGACTTTTTACAAGAGTGTCCACTGACAGGACAAGGGGAAATGGGTTTAAGTTGAAGGAGAATAGATTCAGATTGGATCTTAGGAAGAAATTCTTCAGTACGAGGGTGGCAAGACTTTGGAATAAATTGCCCAGAGATGTTGTGGCTGCCCCCTCCCTGGAGGTGTTCAAGGCCAAGTTGGACAGAGCCTTGAGTAGCCTGATCTAGTTGAGAGGCGGCCCTGCCCGTGACAGGGAGGTTGGATTAGAGGATCTCTAAGGTTCCTTCCAATTTAGGCCATTCTGTGATTCTATGATGTGGTTCTTTCCAGGGGCGGTGTATCAGACACTTGATTCTGTGGATTATTTTTACATAACTTTTTTTGCATCAGAATAAGTTGTAGCTTAATTGCTAAGACAGCACAAGATGCTTAAATCTTGGGAAATTTGGGTGTTGTTGCTCTTTTGTAAATTGCTGTGACACACGGTGATAGCTAGAAGCATTTAAGAAAATGGATGTTGTCAGTGATAAAATGTACAGACACTGCCACCTGCAGACTGTCTCGTGTACTGTATGAAGGACCTCTCGCGAGGACTTAAAAAAAAAAAAAAGGAAAGAAAAAGTAGTAGTTGTTAACTGTTAATATTTAAAGCTGTACTATGATACTCTGCAGCTGACCCGAAGATGGAGAGTAAAGAAGACCAGTGGATGGGTGTAACTGTCCAAAGTCAGGGGCCAGGAGGAAATGTCGTGGTAAGTCTAAAGGACTAACTTAGGAAAACATTTTTGGGTCTACAGTAAATGTGGATGGTCTGTGTTTCTATGCAGCTCTCTGAAAGGTAACTTTCCTGTGTTTGCTCCTGTGATTTCTTGTAAGGACTTAAGTGTCTCCTTGGCAAAGTAAGACACATGAGACTGTAAAAGCTTTAAATTATTTTTCTGGCTACGAGTTAGCCTTTCCTTATAACCTTTGTAGCAATCTGGGATGGAGAGTTCGATTTCAGGCTGTCTATTTAATTGTTCTTGTGATACACACATTGTTCCTTTTAAATGCTGCTTCCTACAGAAACAAGAGAGAGTAGTGTCATAAGGTTGTGGAAGTAGCAGGCTGTGGTCAGCCGGCTTTCCAAGATGATCAGCCTCACTTTCATCAGGGCCTTTGGCTGTGTTCCTGCTACAAAATAGTGTGGCCACTGCACTGCAGTAAGGCTACCAGCTATTTTTTTAAAGAGTTACCAGAGAATTTTACTTTTTTAGCTCTTTCTCAGTTAAATAAACCTCTTGTGGTGCTGCAGGATACCAGCTACATCATGAAATGGGTGCACAATGAAGCTTCCCCATCTAATTATGTTCTTGCAGGTTAATGTCACTGCTTCCAAAACTGGGGGCAAGTGAATCTGGAGTTAATTAAGGATGTGGAGGCAGTAATAACTTGCTTCAGTCTGCCTCAAAACCCAAAGGGGGGAAGAGCAGACACAGAGTCGTGCTCACTGAATAATTGATCATCAGCTAATGCTGTCTTGTCTTTTCTGAGAAGGAACTTTGTAAGTGACAAGTGGGAAATGCACTTACTAGATGGGGTGTGGGCAGCCTGAGGGTCGCAGGGCAGCACTGCAGTGCTCTGAGTGTGGAGTAGCTCCGGCTTTGCCTTAGGTTTAAGCCTTGAAGGGTTGTTAGCTCAGAAACCTGGCTTGCTTATGCTCTTCACACACCTCCTGCGTCTGTTTTTGCAAAAAAACACTGCTGGCAAAGGGGCTTGAGTGTTCCAACTCTTTTTACAATGGTTTAGTGGTTACCCCACTTAACCCAGAGGCAATTCATCCCTTGTGTTAAATATTTGAGTAGAATTCTGTTCCCAGGTGAGCAGTCTAAAAGGTTAAGGAACCTCAGTGCTGCTGCTCTGCCCCAGTGACAGTTATTCCCTAAGTGGGACATCCAGCATAGGAACACCCTCTCTCCCCTCCACTGGAAAAGCTTTCAGCCTCTGCTTTGAGGCACTTTTCTGGAAGGGGCGAGTTCTGAATAGTCTCACGTAGACAGTAGCTGAACCAGCTTCTCATGTTGTGCACACAAGTGGGTAAGTCATTTAACTCCGACAGCTGTGAGTGACAGCTTATTTAACTCTAACACAGCCACTTCTTTATGAGAGATAGGGTGGTTCTGTCCTTACTTCTCGAAAGAGAAGGGTTAGGTATCAGGGAGCGCTTCAGGGCAAAAAGCCTAAATCCCACAGAGAAGAGGAATTTAACCATGTGGTTTTCCTTGACCATGAAGCTGGTGCCTCTGGCTTGTATCCATACATGCCCAACTTTTCCCCTGTGCTGCCCACAGTGAACAGTGGACTCTCTGCATTGTAGCAGGGATGTGTGTACAAGATGACTGACTTACAGCATTGGTAGCATGAGGTACTGCTCAAGCAGACGAGCTGCCTTTGACTTGCCCACAAACATACAGAAAGCGTCACTTACTATCTCTTCTATCTTGCAGACATGTGCGCATCGCTATGAGAAAAGGCAGTATGTAAACACAGTGCAGGAAACCCGGGATATCATTGGAAGGTGCTATGTGCTGAGCCAGGATCTCACTATTAAGGATGATATGGATAATGGAGTATGGAGCTTTTGTGATGGTCGTTTAAGAGGCCATGAGAAGTTTGGTTCCTGTCAGCAAGGTGTTGCTGCTACTTTTACCAGAGACTATCATTATATTGTGTTTGGTGCCCCAGGCACTTACAATTGGAAAGGTAGGATCCGGCTTCCTTCCTGCCCACCCTTCCCATTTCCTCTGAGATTGCTCACAAGGGTTGCATCCTAAGTTGGTTTTGTTTGGTTGTTTGTTTTTTGGAGGGGGGAGGGGATAAGAGGGAGCTAATGCTTTTACTTGTTTGCACAAAATGCTGTGTCTCTGTATCAAAAGTATTTACTGAAGTTTCTTTACACAACTTTGAGCGAGTACTGAAGAATGGATAGTGGAACTTGGCACATATGTACAGCAAACGTTTCCCTGACTAGTCTTGATCTTATGGTGGGACTGACTGCTTGCTTTGAGACTTCCATACTGGAACAAAGGACTAAATTAAAGTTACTTGACCAACCTTTTTACCAGCATTTAAACAAATGTGAGATAGCTGCACTGAGATCTGTTTATCCTGCAGTATTCTCCACTTTGTGAAGTCTGTGGAAAGTAGTACTTTCCAAACGAGATACTGAAGAATTTCACAAATATAACTGAACAGAGCAATACTGCATGTATTCATATCTAAATCCATGGATATTCGTGTAATATTCTGTAGATCATCTGTCTGACTGAAAGCTAAGTACTCTGTATCTTCTAGGAGATACTCCAAACCTTAAGGGAAAAAAACTCTAGAGTTTCTGTTAGTTTATATTCAGAAACATGTAAGTGGCTGGCTCTGTCTTTTTCTTACAATGACTTTTCCCCATCACACTTCATTACACCAACAGCTGCAAACACTTCCCTCTTTAGAACATCTAATCCTCAAACCATTACATTTTTCCGCTCGTACACCTGTGCCTGCTATATGAACCATGCAAAATCTTTGAGTTAAGCTCTGGCACAAGGTGTACTTTAGTGAAAATGTAATCTTCCATGTCAACAAAATCTGACCAAGCTGAAACAGCATATTGGGTTCAGACACTGCTTTACTTTAGTTGCAGAGAAGCTATGACAGTATATCGGTCATAAGAGTATTTGTTTTTGTATCATGGAAAAACATGCTCATGCTTGCCAAAATATTAAATGTGCCTATTGACAGAAGGGAAGCACACATTCTAGCAAACAACAGCTCTTTTCCCCTTTATAATGTTCTATAAACATACCACTGGTGTTTGCCATAGCTGACCAGTGTTGTTTTTTTTTTTTTTGGTATTCCTGTGTACTTACTTCCCTTTTAAGAGAGGCTTTATGAGGTTAAGAACTGTGGGATGAGGGTGGTTCCTGACCAAGTTGGTCCCATTTTTGTTGAGAATTTTCTTGGTATCTCATGTTTTCCAGATCACTGTATAGCCTCTCTGTAGAGCTGTGTGAGATTCTGGCACATGAACAGAACCTAGAAATTCACTGCGTTTTGAAAACACTTTCACCCAGTGCATTATTCTGTGTCCCATTTAAACAGCAGTCGCTATCTCATTCATTGTCATTAATGTTAGTTGAGAACCATTTATCTGTTACTTTTCTCCCTTACCATTCATTGCTTTTATTTTATCATTTCATTTCTTCAGGGGTGGTTCGTGCAGAGCAAAAGAACCAGACGTTTTATGATCTGGGTATCTTTGATGATGGGCCTTATGAAGTTGGTGATGAGAGCCGCCAAGATAAGAATCTAGTTCCTGTTCCAGCTAACAGTTACTTAGGTAGGATTCAGTACATACGGTAAATCTCTGTGGGCTTCTTCAACATTTGTGATCCCAGCCTGGTGCAATGATACAAAATGGGAGCAGAACATCCGTCGTCACCCTGTTAACTGTTTTGAATAATTCACATCTCCCTCCACGGTTATGGACCAGTTAAATGATGCTCTGCTGAGGTACCTAGAAGAGCTGCTGATGTAATGAGAGATTTCAGACCTGTGATGAGGACCTGTGGATTCTCAGGGCGTAATTAGAATTTCTCTAATGGTTAAGTAGAGCATATGGCTCTGTAGTCCTTAGTCACAAGGTCTCTGCCATGTGGTATCAGAAGGTTTATCAAAATTTGATGTTCTGGATGTAAGCATGTAACCAAGACTGCAGTTTCTCTTTCCTGGTAGGTGGGTACAAATTTTTTATTCTTCAACTTCTTAAAACTCCAGCAGCCTTTCTGTGGGCCTTTAAAATACCATAGTATGAGTAGCGTTTATATTTTAAATGTGTGTGTTGCAGGATGTGAGTCTCCTGCACTGTGTGCATGCAGAAAGGCAGCAACGTGTCCTTAGGCCAGGGGCTGTTACTGTACACCACTGAGATACGCTGGTGCAGAGAAAAGGCTATGCTGCATTTCTGGCAGTTTTCTGTCCTGTATTGATCCACTGCTTTCAACATACACAACAAATACAATTTTGGTAACTTGAAACTGGAATTTCTGTGTGAGTGGTGGAAAGCTGAGCAGCTGAGAGGGGCATTGCTAATATAAAAAGTGAAAGCAAGTCAAGAAGAGAGAAAGCTTAGAGCTTACATAATGGTTAGAAGAAATAGAACGTGAACTTCCGTTAAATATCAGCAGTAATTACTGGGTGTAATTTTTTTTTTTTTTACATAAAAATAACAAGAGCTTACTTTAAAAGACAAGCTGATAGCCTGTTCTGGTGAAGTCAGAATTGGTAGGGTGAGGAGTGTTGTGGAGGTGTTTTGCTGTGAAGAGAGCAATACTGACTTCTTGTGGTTTCATAACAAATGTGTTTGCCTCCTACATGAAAATGCTGCCTTTGGTTTGTCACAATCTAAACCACTTCCACGCAAGCCTGCTGTTCTCTGGCATCACTCTGTGTAGACAGCAAATAACCACACTTACACCTGCTTTGCGTAACTATTTTTTTTTCTTCAATATTCACTCATGTTTACAGGTCTTCTATTTCTGACAGCTGTATCTGATACCCACCCAGATCAGTTTGTATACAAAACGTTGCCTCCCGGCATAGAGGTGGACAAATCGGTGGATGTAATGATGAATAGCTACTTAGGTTTGTGACCACATGAGGTGGCAGCATCTGGTCAGACATAAATCTCCAGACCTTTGACGTAATCCTCCTCCCTCCATCCCCCCTCATCTCAAATACATTGCAAGTAAAAGCATGTAAAAACGGATTTGGATGAAGAGGAGCTTACAGAGTAACATGGCTTCAGAGAAACAGTGATTCGTCACACATTTCTCCAAACCCTCTCATCCCTCCCACAGCTGGGACTCCCTGAATTCTTCTGAAACTCTCTCATTGTGAATTGCTGTAATTGAGAATTCTCCTAGTACTGGTGAAGTGTTTCAGAAGGGAGATGTCAGTCTGCTGACTAGTGTCTGTCTTCCTTGCAATATGTGTAATTTTCTACTTTGGCCTTTGTTGGTACATGCAGCATATTCCTTTAACTCAGTTTTTCATGTATTTTAAAGCATATTTATTTCTATAAAGAATATGTAAGATTACATTAATTTGAATGTGTCCTTTAGGGCTGCATTAAATCAAAATTGCCAATTTCACCATTACTGTGCAAGGTGATTCTCAAATACCGTACACATCATCCATGTAAAATACTGTGCCTGTGCAGTACATTTTGCATGTTTGCAACAGAATGACAGTGACTTGTACTTAGGAAGTTTTATCATAATTTTGCCAGAGGTGAAATACTCAAGCTATATTCAAGTGGTAAGGTAGTGTCATTTCCAAGCTGGTGTGTTTAAAAATGATCTTGTATTTAGTGTCTGGGAACGTTAGATCTGAGTGAGCAATGAAATAATACATTTTCTGGGGGGAATACTTAAATGTAACATATGGAGGAATGTAGACCTGTAAATGTGCACCCACGGGTCCAAAGAGAAATGGAGAATTCCCAGTATATCGTACTGTGTTTTAGACAAAACTTCTATTCAATATACCACTTTAATATAGTAGGGGAATTTATTTTTCCTATTAACCATAGAGCCTGGTAATTTGTTTGCTTATATTTTATTTCTTTCTCTGTTAAAGGTTTCTCTTTGGACTCTGGTAAAGGAATTGTCTCCCAAGATGAGATGACTTTTGTGTCTGGTGCCCCAAGAGCCAACCACAGCGGAGCAGTTGTTTTACTGAAAAAAGAGAAAAATCAGAGAGCACTTTCACTTGAGCACATGTTTGAAGGAGAAGGGCTGGCCTCTTCTTTTGGCTACGATGTTGCTGTTGTGGATCTCAACAGTGATGGGTAATCCTGCTGCCTGTGAAAGGGAGGATGGCAATCTGCTCTGCTTTGGTTTTTCACATTAGAAACACGAGAAATGCCTAATCCCATCTTGGCTGTTTTGCTGGAGGAAATGGCGAGCATCCCGGAGAACCAGCCAGGACACAGCTTGTAATGTCAGTGCAGCTGTTGTTGCTGGGCCAGTTCAATACATTTTTAGTCTTTGTTCAGAAGCTCTTTGGCTGGCTGACCTTGAGACCACAGTCTGATCAGTTATTTGTCACAGTTCTTCCGTAAAAGCACTGCTTTATTTTATTTTTTTTCTTTAATTCTAAGATGGCAAGACATTGCTGTTGGAGCCCCGCAGTATTTTGACAGAAGTGGAGATATCGGTGGTGCTGTGTACATCTACATTAACCAGAAAGGCAAATGGGAAGGCGTAAAACCTGTTCGCTTAAATGGAACCGCTGACTCCATGTTTGGTCTTGCAGTTGAAAATGTTGGGGACGTTAATCAGGATGGATACCCAGGTGAGTGAAAAATTATTACAGTAAAAACATATGTGACTTTTTTGCTAATGTCAGACTTGGAACATCTTACCCTTATCATGATTGCAAACTGCAGAAAGAGTAAGAATGATTTTAGATGTTGCAACTTATTTTCAACAGATATTGCAGTAGGGGCTCCATATGACGGTTTTGGCAAAGTATACATTTATCATGGATCCAAGAATGGAATAAATACAAAACCAGCACAGGTAATGAAATAAACTTTATATAATTAGTCTTGTACAAAATTAAAGGAAAACAGGGCTATCCATCTTCTTCCTTTTCATTACTATGTGGTGTGTATGCAAGGAAAGTCGCAGGACCCTTCAGAGACTGCACTGCTGATCAGAAAGATTAGGAATTCCTGGTTTTAATTAACTTGGAATTTTAATCTGATTTTAATTAACCTGGAACTAGCTGTTCAGAGAGGTGGTAAAAGCCCCATCCATGGAAACATTCAAGGTCAGGGTGGATGGGGCTCTGAGCAACGTGATCTAGTTGAAGATGTCCCTGCTCACTGCAGGGGGGTTGGACTAGATGAAACTTCAGTGTCATTTGCATGAACATACATTTCCTTGTATGTCTTCTTTCTTTTTTGTTTTTTCCCCTTGCTATAAGACAATGATGTTCACTTGTTACTTATTCCACTTTTATTGCTTTTAAATGTCTGAATTCCCTCCAATCTGTTTGCTCTTTAGATTCTTGATGGTGAAAAAACAGGCACCAATTTCTTTGGTTACTCTCTTGCTGGAAACATGGACCTGGATAAAAATTCCTACCCTGATATTGCTGTTGGTTCCCTTTCAGATTCTGTATCTGTGTTCAGGTATTATATACAGAACAGTAACTGATTACACCAAGGTTTTGGTTTTAGCGTTTTAAAAACAAACTGCTAGGAAGTAACAAAAAGCTGTTTGGACCTGAGTGTATTTGTCCTTCTACAAGTTGGAAATTCTGGGGGAAAAAATTCTACGAACCAGTCTGTTAGTTATATCAACCTCTTTGAGAAGCTTCCTCACAAGCAGCACAGGGTAAGAGTGTGAACGTGGACAGTTCCTGCGGAGCACTGGTGTGTGCAGTGTGCCTGCTGGTGCCCTTGCTGTGCCCTGCGGTAACTCGCTTGGATGCCTGTGTCCTTTGATGGAATTAAGGGCAATAACTCACTTCTCCTTAAGGCAAAAGAATAGCTGATAGTTTTGCTAGAGCTTTTGTTTGCTGCTGTTATATATATCTAATCCTGCTCTACTGGAGATAGCAAAAAGCCAAGCTGAGGATCTAAAAGCAGTGAGGCACACGCCCTTGCAGAGGTTGCAGTGGGGTCCGTGGAACAGCTGTGAGGGAGCCCTGCTGCAGAAAGGATCCTTTTGGATTTCTGTCATGTGTGCCTTAATTAGGGATGAGATCACAGTCTTTTGCAGACCTCCGCTTTTTTTCCAGCTTAGTCTACTGCTTAGTAATCTCTAGTAAAGACCAGGAAGAGAACTGTCTCCTCTATCAGAGCTGTGAATGCTGCATCCAGTTCAGGTCTTCTGCAGTTAGTCTCAGGTGCCAGCCGAGGGGGAGCAGAAACTCTTAGTTTTATCTTAGTTTTGAGCATGAAGTAACTCTACCTTTCAGGCAGAATGACCTTTTCTACAGTTTTTTGATGATCCCATCTCTAAGGTGTATGTCTGTGTACATACTTGGATTGAAATAGCACCCAACAAAAGCAACACATGCCGCTTGTGGAGAAGGACAGAGTAGGTGAAAGGGAAGTTGGTTAGATTATTAAGTGTTCTACTTGCCAAAAGGAGCTTTAATCATTTGCTGATAAAGGCAGTAAAAATCTTTACAGAGGTCAGAACAAAAACCTTTATGGTGACAAATGGTGAAAGGGGTCACTCAGTTAAAAAACATTTGCTAGAAAAGGAGGAGGTGACTTACTGGTCATTTTGAATAACCCTGAGATGCTTCGATGAGAGTGGGATCAGATCATTCATTTGTTCATGTGAACTGTCTTTTCTTGTCCCTGCCAAAAAAAGAAGAGAAAGTAAAAGTTGTCAGGCTGAATTATGGTTACAGCCTGAACGCAGAGGAGTCAGGAAATGAAAAAATTGTTTCCCACAGCCACCCAGGCTCCACATTGTGATCATTAATCTAAATGAACTTCAGTACCTACAGTTGTTCACAGGGGCTGAATTACTATAAGGGTGGGAACCATCACTTTGAATGTTCTGGTTTTTGTATGTGTATAAATTGACCATCACATCATCACACTAATGTACCCTACTTCCCCGTCAGGCATTTAACACAACTGCAGTTGTTTTTTGTGACTTGCTTTGCTTAGCTTTAAGTAGCTTTTGTTTCGAACCATTATCAAAGGCAGAGATATTTCAAAGGTATTTCTTGGGGTGTCCTTGTTGCAAATCAGTGCAGACATGGAGGGCGTCTGGGATTCACATGAGTTATTTTATTAAACTCAATAGAAACTTCTTTTTCTTTCTTTTTCCTCTCCTTTTCATTCCCCGTTTTTTCTCCCAAATGAAGATCTCGGCCTGTGATAAGCATTAGAAGAAGTATTACAGTACAGCCTGACAAAATTGATCTAAAGAAAAAGAACCCTGAGGACCCTAGTGAAATATGGTAAATTTTTTTTTAAAACTACTCTATAGGAAACCTTGATGTATTGAGCCTTCTGTTCTCAAAATTCGTTCAGTCAGTGATGATGTTGCAGTGAAGAGATACGACAGTCATGCAGGTTAAGCAAATTTTATCTACATGTGATCATTTTGACTTCCTGAATTTGCTGGGACTACTATGCTAAAGACAAGATGTGGAGTATGTTCTGGTCACAATGTTCATTTTTGAAAAAGAATGTCACTTTGCTGCTTAAAATTTTAACCTAAGTGTCAGCTTTCTCACGAATAAAGATGTAAGAACAAATGCCAAAAAAATTTTGGTTAATTGCTTGTTAACCATTTTATCTTGCTTTGTAATTCAATATAGTAAGTGTCAAGTTACTGTTGTAGCATAAAAATGACAGTCATAAGACTGATAATATCAGTCAATGAACTATTAAAATTTTTCAGTCTTTTGGACCATGCCTTAATAAAGTTAATACTAATTTCTTGGCACTTTTTACAGGATGGATGTGAAAGCATGTTTTCAATATACTGCAAACCCCAGTGATTTAAATCCAAGAATAAGTAAGTTCTGAAGATAATTTTTTTTGGTCTTTTTGTGACATGGTTAGTTTTCTGGGTTTTTTTTAGAGTGTATCATGGAAGAACAGGACTCAAATTATAGTGACTCATCTCAGACTGTGACTGTCAAATTTAAAATGTGACTCAATACTCGGATTAATCAGCTCTTGCACTACCTGTATTTAAAGGAAGATGCATTGAGTCATGCAGGTGTGTTAGGAAGTTCTGTGGATGACAGACTGAACTGAAGCTTTCTGGGTGATGTCACTGCCAGAGAGCAAATGGTTGCCACATGGAGGAAAACCATTTTGCCTTTCTAGATTGCTGCTGCTTTAGAAGATAGTTTTAAAAGCCCATTTTCCATATAAGTAAGCATTATTTCTTAGTGGAGACTTACCTATAAAATGGTGTTCTGTATTCATGAATTTTTTTTTCCTTAAAATCAGTAACAAATAAAAAACCACCTGTGTATTTAATAGGAGTCTGGAAGAGTCCACCATAAATATAGTTTAAAATGTAAAGCGTTAGTTTCTAATGTTCCCTGTTTTTTCTCTTGTTACAATGTTGCTGTTACTACACCTTAGAAAACTGAGGAAATGAGAATAATTTTAAGGCCAAACCTCCTTCTCCTCCTGTTTGTTGTCTTCAGTTTCTCGGTTACCTGTAAAATCCATAGGATGTACCTGAACAAGGTCCTGATCCTTCAGCAGGTCAAGTGCTTCCAGCTCTCAGAGGCGGCTCACCTGTGCCCTTCTGCATGCTCCCTGGTGCCTTGGGTGCTGCTCCCATCCTTGCAGCATTGAATCAGCTAGGTGAACACACAGATAATTAAAAGCTAACAGATCTATCAAAACATGCCTCAGGATACAACTAGAAAGCTCTACTTTCACAGTTAAAATTAATGCTTGACCTCAAAAATCCTGCTGGCTGCTTAGGCACTATTTGGGACAAAATGGGAATCAAGGACAGCCGAGTGAGAGCGTTTACAAAGTTTGTGTCTCAGCCCTCTACTGGCTGCAGTGACAGCTGCTCCAGCCAGCTCTGCCTGCTGGCCAAGTGATGGGAACTTTGGAATAAAAGGATTTGGTTTAGAAGTTTCCTGTACATCTACACACAGGGGTACCTGGCCCTCAGGGACAAAACTGACAGGCGGTGAAAGTTTTTTAAATAACTGAAAACAGTTTCTGAAGCCCAACACTGGGTGAAAGGGTCTTCTAGAATAACATTTTAAGATCATATCTGGTGAAATTAAAAGTTCTTTTTAACAAGGCAAGGGTTCTTTTTTCTAGTGACATACTTTGTTTCTGCCCACAGAGATCAACTATACATTTGAAGCAGAAAATGAGAGAAGGCAGCTAGGCCTGCCGTCCAGGGTACGGTTTAAAGACCACCAGTCCGATCAGTTTACTGCAAGCACAACTCTAAGGGGGCAGAACTCTAAAGAGTGTGTGGCAACCAAGCTTGTACTGCAGGTAAGGCAGAGTATTTTATTTTTATTTCATTTAGATCCATTGCAAACAATAGCATGCTTTTGTTTTTTCAGCCTCATGGTACCACCTCTTTATGTAACTTTAAAATCACATGCTTCAAACACACAAAAGAAAAATCACAAAGCTTCAACACTACAAAATAACCATAGGTAAAAGTAGTGCCTGTCTGTTTTCCCTGCTGCTGCTTCCTCCTTTATTACAAAGTGTGAATAAAAGTTGCAAGCACTGTGGCATACTCCAGAGATCAGTAAAGCTGAAATAATTTAGAAAAGTAGAGAGGGAATAAATGCCAAAAATGGAGAGCAGTTTCCAGCAGAAGTAATTGTTACAGAATTTAACAGCATGACTGGCTAGGACGAGAATTTTAACCCACGGCTTTCAGAGGGGATGAATGAGCAGGATGGGGAAGTGCAGTGTGTGCTCTCTGACCTGGCTGCCACACTGGCCCTTGAAGGTGACACTGCTCCAGGAGCTGAACATGTTCCCTCGCTGCAGCTCAGCAGTAACGAGCCAGCCTCCAGGGTTGCTTTTGACTACAGCAAATTAGAAGAGCCTGAACTTATGCAATAGGGGGATAGTGTGTTATTTTTCTGTTGTAGTGTGAATTTCACTTACCTGAGTTACTGCATTCCTAGGAATCCTTAACAGTGAGAGAAACTATCAGAGTGGGAAGCCAGGGAAAGAAGCACCAAAAGAGGCAGTAGGGCTGGGCTGCTTGTGTTCTTGCACATTATTAGAAAATGTTTGGTTTCTATATATGGTTTCAGTACTGCAAAATGTAGCAGAAAAAAAAATTGCTTTACTGCTTATTCTAAAATGTGTAACAAAAGTCAGTCTTTGTGTTGTTTTTTCTTCTCTGCATCGTCCATTAACTATGTCATTTAAAATATTTTAGCAGGAAAAAATTAAAGATAAGCTACGCCCCATTCCAATATCAGTCAGTGTTAAAATTGCTGGCCTGGAGTCTAGCTCACCATCCACAAGAAGAGAAAGAGCACTTCCGGATCTTATACCAATTCTAAATTCAAATGAATCTGAAACAAAGACCACAAAAGTAAGCCTTTAATATTGCAGTTTCCCATAAATATGGGCTTTGATAAATCACTGAATTTTAAAAACTGTAGAAAGCTAAATTATTACTAAAGGGAACACCTGGGGTGGCACTGGACTTGTAACTACTGGCTTGTATTTTATGTTGTTATGAACTTGATCCTGTGCTGCTTTTTCAACAAAAGTGAAGATGATATAGCTGCTGGGGTTTTTCTTCTCTCCCCTGCAAGTTTAGGAGGAAATGTACTTTTTGGTTAAAAATGAAAATCTATTGTCTCCTGCTGTGAACAGTTGTCCCACAACACAAAATAATGTGCAGTCTCATTCTTCCATGGTTAGGGTGCTGCTACAGCATTAGAGCTCTGCAGCAGTGATGTACAAGAAAGGGAGTATCTTCGGTAAAAGAATATCTTGGGTTAAAGTTCTTATTTCCTGAATGCTCACTGAAGAATCAAGCTTAAGGGTGTTTTTCCTCATTAGAAGTGTACCTCTCACTTAGAGGTACTAACTCTGTCTTTTAGTCACATTTCAAATTTTAAGTTATCAGCACCAAGGGCTATGTCTCACAAAGAAAAACTCTTGACAGGCAGGAAGTAAGAAGTTAAAACCTTATCCAGGAAAGGATATGAAGGTTATAACCTTACCTATCCAGGAAAATGTCTCTTGAGTTCCCTGTAGATGCTTTATGCAGGGCACATTAGAAATCTTGTTGTAGGCCAGTATCATGTGACATACAGTAAAAGCACTTTTGTTTGGTTTTAGGTGGAGTTCTTAAAAGAAGGATGTGGAGAAGACAATGAATGTCACAGCAATCTGAAACTTCAGTACCGGTTTTGCTCTAGAGAAGGAAATGAAGACAGGTTTACTTATTTACCAATGTAAGCCTTGATTAATGCATTGCTAAAATCCCAATTATTGAGTGCTTAGAACTTTTAGGAGAGGGTTTTGGGAGACAGAGCAGCTTTGTTCTAGTCTGGCACAGCTCTGTGAGGCAGTACTGATCTGTCAGGGCGAGGAAGGTGGGGGAGCAAGCATGGGCTTTAGAAGAAGAGTGTAGTACTGGGTCAGATGGATACAAACTGGCCACAACTGTGCAGGTATGGGCTAAAAGTTGGGAATAAAAGTTTGTAACCCCTGGAAAAATGAGATTCTAAATCAGCCTTGCAGTAGTTTTGTTGCGTGTGATACTGTTAACTGTTTCTGAGATGAAGTTCGACTGTGAGTGTGATGTGATACGCTCCAGTCAGTGGTCTAAGACAAGCAGTTACAGAGCAGTGCACAGAGAAATCATTTCACTGTAACACACACTTAACACCCTGCTGCATCCTCCTCCCTGGAGGGCCAGTGAAATTAGAAAAGAGGTGTAAAACAAACCAAAGGAAGTAATGTCTACTTACTGCCAACAGTCAGTCATCTTTAGCAGTGAGTGCCACAGCCTGACTTGGAAGCCAAAACCACGTCTGCAAGAAAAAAGTACGCCAGTAGATTTATTCAGGGAAAATTCATCACTGTTAAACATGAGCCATATGCAAGTGCTGGTTGAGAAAATACTATAAACTTTTGATTATTTGAGGGCGATAGCAGTCTGTTCTGTCCTGTTACCTGCTGGCCACTTTAAGAGGTGGAATACTGGTCTGAGGAGAAAAACTATGACCATTCATGTGCTTATGGTTTTACCATAATTCTTCCCTAATAGAGGGAAAAATATTAAATATGGTAGACCATATTTAAGAAGGAAACTTTTGTACACATTTGTTTTATTAATGCATATAACCCTGTATATTCTGTTTCTGTAGTGAAAATGGCACGCCAGTGCTTGTTCTGAAAGATCAGAAGGATATTGCCCTGGAAATAACAGTGACAAACAATCCCTCTGATGCAAAAAATCCACAGAAAGATGGTGAAGATGCATATGAAGCTAAACTAATTGCAACTTTTCCAGACAGTCTGACGTATTCCGCATTCAGGGAGATGAAAGGTTATCCTGTAAGTATTTTTAAGAGAAAATATAATGAAATTTTAAAATATTTTTAGCATATTTTTACTTTTAAGTGTATTCTGTTTAATCAGGAAAAGCAGCTAACGTGTGGAGCTAACCAGAATGGTTCTCAAGCAGAGTGTGAGCTTGGAAATCCCTTCAAAAGAAATTCCAACGTAAGTTGTGCCTATTTTTACTCAAGTTATAAAATCTGATTCCTGACTGCAGTCGTCCAAAGTTTATGTGTGTTGTAACTGGATTTGGATCTTTCTCTTTAACTTTCTAACTTGACAGGGTATTTCTATAATATTGCATGTATTAATATATATTACAAAATGTTTACATATTTCATGGGCATTCTTTCTTTCTTGTCTAGGTAACGTTTTATTTGATCTTAAGCACCACTAAAGTGAATGTTGATACAACAGACTTGGACATTAATCTGAAGTTGGAAACGTAAGTCTTTTTGTGCTGCTGTGTTTTTAATACAGTTGTAAACATTTTGAATTAATTTGCTAGATTCACAAAAGCAATTTAATAGTAATGAGAAAACTGCTAGATTTGTAAAATAAACAGCATTGTTTCCTTTTCATCATAGAACGAGCACTCAAGTTAATTCGACACCAATTATAGCTAGTGCTAAAGTGGTTCTTGAATTGCTTTTATCGCTCACTGGGTAAGTGTTTATAGTGTTAATGCGTAGTGGGGGCTGGGGATGAGAGTTTTGCTGCAGATTTCATTAAAATCTGATTATTCTCCTTTCCCACCCCCACGTGACAGAGTTGCTAAGCCTTCTCAGGTGTATTTTGGAGGCAACATCGTTGGTGAGAGTGCTATGAAATCTGAAGATAATATTGGAAACCTCATAGAGTATGAGTTCAGAGTGAGTAATTCAGATAAATTCCAGCAGCTGCTTTTAATCAAATGAACAGCTTCTCTATGCCTATGAATCCCTGGAAAAGTTGTTGGATTTAAAACTGTTTTTTCTTGTCCCGAAACCCCAACTTCCTGATCAGAACAAGCAGTCTGACTGCAGACTGGACCTTCTTTAGGCCTTGGCGTTTTACAGTCATATTTTGAGGAAGTGGCCTGAGGCTGGCTGCATGCTTGTTTTTTTTCAGAGCAGTTCATGCACATTCATTTGTACAGCAGAAAGCCCTCTGCAGGTAGGCAACAAAACTGAAACCCCAAACCCTGGCTGGGTCACGGCCAGGGCTTTGCTGATGTGCACGAAAAGCAAGTACGTGCACAGGATTGAGCAGGCACAGGAAGACACTGCGGGAGCTACTTCAAATGTGTGGGTCCATTGCTCTCTTCTGGTCTTCTCCTAGTTAGTAAATCAAGGAGGCGGCTAAGAGAGATGATTTTGGTTCTGTAAAAACTCTTGTTTATTAGCAAGAGTTGCTTTTTCTCCATCATTAATGCAAACCCTAATGTCTTTATGGATAGTTTGTCAGGATTAAAGTCATCTCTGTCAATTCTTTCCTTCCTTCTGTACCTGCATGCATAGATTAAAGCAGAAGCGTGGAGCACAGCATAAAGTTAGAGTATCTGTTGTACAACTTGCTATCATGAACAGTAGCACTAAGAAAGGAAAAAAATAGGTTAGGAAAGAACTTGCAGACCTGGGAGAGCAAGAGTTGGTTATCTGTGTCAGAGTTCCTCATAAACTTGCATTTTGCCTCAGTTGTGTAACAGACTGATTTGTTAACTCTTAATGGGAGCTGTTGTTTCACATGAAGATAGCTTTCTAAAATCAATAGCTTGAAGTTTATGTTAGGGAGTTTTAATCCTTCTGTGTTGAAACTCTGCATTTACTTGCTCTCCAGGTGTGCTAGTTTTAGTATAAGCTTTATCTTTATACTCTTTTGACTGTCTTTCATGTGCTTTAAAATTTTCTGTTAGCTGCATGCTTAAAACTTGCCCAAGTCAGTAACGCTTTCGATCAAAAGAAAATCCCTTTAAAAAGTATTTCACAGTATAAAGAATGTTTGTTTTAACAGGTAACTAACTTGGGCAGACCACTGAAAACCTTTGGTACCGCTTCCCTGGACATCCAATGGCCAAAAGAAATTAGTAATGGCAAATGGCTGCTTTATTTGATGAAAATAGATTCGAAAGACTTGGAGAAAGTCTCCTGTCAACCTGAGAGTGAAATCAATAGTCTACATGTTGCGGTATGTTACTGTCGTGGGTTAGGGCTGGGCC